GGGATGGGCCCGAGCCCTTTGGCTCCCTGAAATAGGAAGGGAGCGCGGATTTGTATAGAGACAGCCTCTTCATTTTGTTCATAATAGCTTGGCAGTCAGATTGTTCCCACATTCTGGCTGAAAAGGAAGTGCTATGAATAGCGCTGGTGCTCAGGGAGCCCGTGGCCAGGAGGAGCGTTCTGTACGGGAGCATCCAGGCCCTTCCTCTCTCCTCCCTCTTCCTCCCCGCCCTCCACTTGTGAGTACCGCCACCCCAAACAGCTCAGGCGGTTCAGCAGGAAATCTACAGAGATCTTACTGAAAATGCACCTCCAGGCTTTTACTGTGGTCTCATTAGCAAGTGAACTGGTCTTCTTGGCGTACATATGGCTAATTCATCTTTCTTTGTCTCCGTTCCATACTTGCACTTTCTGGGTCCAGCTGACTCAGTTTCCCTAATGACTTCTACTTAAGCAAGATATGACCTTAAGTCGTGGTATATCTCTTTTGGATCAAGGTGAAGAATATATGGACAGATGGATAAATAGGTCTGTCTAGGTAATAGATGTACACAGACAATTACATTATCATTTAATAATTACTTACAGCATAAAAGTCTTAAGTAGATGAAAAAATATTAAGGTGTTCTCCTACCAAAGGATCAAGCTGTGTTAAAACTCCTCTAGCTATTTTAAGATACCCTTTTTTTATTTTAAAAGTACTAGCTCAGAGAAGCCCATCCATTATGTCCCTAACTGTGTTAGGTGCCTTCATTATGGTCTCTTGTAGCATGCTATCTGTTCCCTAGCATGGTACCCTCGGGCCATCCTGGCCTGGAACTGCTCAGTAAACTGCCTATCTCATTTCCACCAATCTGAGAGCTTTCTCTGACTGTCTCTTTCAGATCCTGATCTGACACAGACCACAGGGCATAAGTGACAGTCAACAGTGGTATGAGTTAGCAGCAATTCAAGACCGCCCTGGACTTTAGAAACCCAACAAGTATGAACTGTGACCCTCCCCTATCCATAGATGATGCTCTGTCCTGACTCTGGGGTGTCCAGGCAAAGGGAAACCCTGATTTCCACCCAATCCCTTGTCTGCTAATTAGGCAGAGGAGACGATTAGAAACTCGCCAAAGCCACATTCATCCTGGAGGCCTAAGAAGACTGAGGAGGCCATAGGTGGGCCTGAAGAAGAAGCAATTGTGTAGGCGGAGTGAGAGGGGCTTTGCAGAGAGAAAGGATAAGAAATGAATCCGGAGACAAGTCCAGCCTGAGGCAGAGGAGCAGGGAGGAGCTGTGGGTGGTGAGTCCAGAGCTCCCTTGAGCACCAGAAGTCGGGCTGGGTTGTTTGGAAGATTCTGGAAGCCCAAGAGGCCTGAGCTTCAGATACCCTGAGAATAAGAGAGTTAAATGTTTTTCTGAAGCAGTTTAGGAAGAGTTTCTAGAAGACTAGAAAGGAGATGGCTGTCCTGAGAATGTCATGCTGTGACCATTGTAAGCATCCCAGAATGAGATGGCGTGACCCAGGCTAAGGGATGAAGGAAGAGAAGGAAAGTTAAACCAGGAAGACAATTTGAAGACACAGAAGGCTGGTTCTCTGCTAGAGATGCACGTTAGAAGCCCGAGTTGCAAGTTCCCCAACTACAAGAAGCTGCTTCAGAGAACCAGTGGCTGTGACGGGGATGGCTGGTGAGGAGGGAGGTCTCTCTGCTGTTCTGTGTTCCTCTGGACTTTCTGCTTACCCCACAAGCCACTGCTTCTTCAGCACAGAGGCCCACCTGGTCCCTTTGGTACCAGTATTATGTCCAGATAGGCAATGGTGACAGTTTGGATGGAAGTATCCTTCAAGCTCCTGTGTCCAAAGCCTGTTCCCTCATTGGTAGATTGATCCATTGATGAGTTCATAGCTGAATGGGCTATTAGGAAAGCAGGCCAAGTTGAAGGTCGCTGGGAACTGAGGACCCTTTGAGGTTATTTCTTGTACCTGGGCCCTACCTAATTTTTTCCCTGCTTCCTGGCCACCGTGAAATGAGCAGCTGTCTTGCATATGTCCTTTCGGCGTGGCGTTCTCTCTGCTTGTTATAAAACACCCTCTTTTCTTTTTCCTGGTGCCCTGAGCCAGTGTACTCAGGGTCTCCTTCTAAGAAGTCCTGCTCAGAGAACACTCCTAAAGCAGTGAAGCATGGACCAAAAGTTCTGAAACCACGAGGCCCCCCAAAATCTTTTCTTCCTTAACTTGTCTGTCTTAGGTGTATTTTGTCAGCAACAAAACACTAATTGCATTACTCATGTAATGGGGTGAAGGGTCATTGAACTCTTGCTGCCATGCAGAACTTAGAGTCCCTTCTGGTCTGAGCACAAGACCAGGTGCTTTGAAAGAGAGGCAGGACCTGGCTGAAGGGTGTACAGAAAAGTTTATTAGTATTTTTGTATTATTTTTTATTAAGCTATGCATTTTACCACTTATTATTATTTTTTTAATGTGACAGCTTTTGGAAGCCATCAGGCCTTGCAGTCCTGCCTTCACATTTTTTCCAATGGCTTTACTCTTTTTTATTTGTGTGTGTGTGTGTGTTTATGTCTGTGCATGTATGCGCATGTATGTGCAGGTGCCTTCAGAGGTCAGAGGAGGGTACTGGATTCCTTGGAGCTAGAGTTACTGGACTCTGTGAGCCACCCACTGTGGATGCTAGGATCTGAACTCAGGTTCTCTTAACTGAGAAGAAAGTCCTTTTCACCATTGAGCCATCTCTCTAGCTCCCGGTGGCTTTTCTTCATGGTCTTAGAAGTCTTCATATTAACGTAAGAGTCATCACTCTTCAGAAACCGAGAGGGCGACTGTCCTGGAGACCCTTGCACCACCCCTCCAGCTCGGCTCCTGACCTGGAAACCTGGAGTCTCAGTGTTCTGACTTATCATGCTGGTGGCATTCCCAGACAGGCTGTCTGCTTCCATAGCTCAGGTTTTCATCGTCATTTTTGGAGCTGTTTGCTCAGCCTTTGCTATTGCGGTTGCAATAGTGTTTTGGATTTGACCTCCTGGCAAGCTATAGGGCTTGGCAGAGGAAGATGCCAGAGGCTCAGTCCAGCTTGGGGGAGGGTCCAGACCTCATAAAAAAGGAAAGGAGATTGGGAGTGGGCTGAGACCACCTTGGGCTTTCTGATCTAGGAAGGGAATTCATCAAGCAACCAGCTTAGCTGGCATTTGGGAGCATTCCTCGATGGTAGCAATGCTGTCACCATCATGGCTTGACTTCCTTTTAACCTCACCTTAATTCCCACTGCCCAATAGACTTATGTGCTATTATGACATAGCAGCAAAATGGTTGTAGATCTCTTTAAGACATACTCATCTGAAATAAAACTCAAGGCAACCTGAGTGTGTGACTCTTTCTCCTGATTCCATTTACAAGTCAGGGCCTTGGCGTGGAGGGGATCCTTGGGGGGATCAGTGTGCCTATCCCACTTTTTGACTGTTCCCTTCATTCCCCTGTCCTAGCCAGAGACAGCAGTATGCACACTATGCCCATGTCCCATACACTGGGTTTCTGATGCTCAATCAAACGTGTGTATTAGAAGGATGTTATCAACACTAAAAACTTGCATTTATCAAGTCCCTTCTTTGTAAGGCAAGAAAATACTTCTGGTTCTTAGAGGCAAAATGCCATAAAAATTAGACACATGGAAGCTCCTGCCCACTTCTCTTCAGGGCTATTCTGGTTACAATGATGTCACTGTTAGACGTTCAGACGGTCAAGGATGTAGCAGCCTTTCTACCGGCAGCCTGGGCAAGTCAGCACTGCTCGGTGGGATTAGCGTCTTGAACAAAGGGAGCCCCTGTTCTGATCTCAGCTGGCTCCCTGTACATCAGAGGAGCAGGCATGTAGCTGACTTTCAATTCTTCTACCCCAAAAGAAACAAAAACCCCATGTCCTACAGAGCCTGGCTGAAGACGGGTGTAAACATTTCAGGTTCACATAAAAAGCCAAAGAAAGGGCCATCCTTCCGGCTGACTCATAGGTCTGAGAACTACACTGCTGGATTTTTAAAGCCATGTGAACATCACAGAGTATACTTCCAGTGTCCCCCGGCATAGAGTCTGTGAGGCCTCCATCTTGTGTACTGTCTGCTGCTTCCTGAAATGCTATACAGCACTTGACTAATTTTCTGTTGTCCCCTCCTTGGAAGTCAGGAGAAGAAAGAGCTCTCCCTAGATCTGCTTCCCCAGCCCTGGGACGGGAACCCTTCCCTCTCGGGTCCGTCCTCCCAGTGTCACAGGGCAGATGCCGCTGGTGCTATCAAACCGTATCCACCTGGGTTTCTGCATGGGCAGCGCATCCTCAGGAACAGGCAGCTTGTCTCCGAGGCAGGCTTCCTGGGAAGAAGCAATTATTCACCCAGCTGGTAAGAAATGAATACTATTTATGTCCTCTTCAGCTAACTGCCTCCTCCACACTCAGGTTTGGGGATAACCGGCTTTGTTGGGTCACCTGACTTTTAGACTCTGGCTGTCTAACGTCCCTTGGCTGCCTGGGTCTCAGATCCAACCCCAGCATTGGTCCTTGAGTTGGAATGAAGTCGCTCTGCATGCAGACAAGAGTCTGAATCTCAACTAGTCCAGTCCAGGAGCCCCACCACCACCGCCAAGATGGCCTCACAGGTTTTCATGGCCCTGTCTTTCCTCATGGCTGATAAGTTACCATGTGTGTATCCTCATTAACTACCCAGGAACAGCCCCATGAAATGGTGCTGGTAAAGAGTCTAAAGTTGAGCCTGGATTTAGTGGCAAACAGAAACAGCCTGACATTAGTAGCAGGGCCTGCCCTAGGCATAGAAGGGAGGGCTGATGTGCATCCCAGGTGTTTGTTGTCTCTGTCCTGGCGTCAAGAACCTGCTTCTGCTGCCTTAGACTGCGTGTTTTGTGGCTTTAAAAATCTTTATTCAGCTCACAGATTTTCCTCTTGGATGCATTACCCGGCACTGTTTCTCCCCCTGCTAAGAATAGCATACTTAAACGTACACATTTACACTTTATTATAACTGCCCTTCTTAATACAGTCATTCTGGGAGGAAGGATACTCTTTCTCTCTAATGCCGCTGAGTTCTGTGGGAAAATATTAGAAATAGACACTTGGAAATTTTTGCCCAATAAATAAGTCTTTCTCGGTAATTACTATATGCCAAGCACATGAAACGAGATGACACAGACTCTCCTCGCAGAAAGCTCATATTCCGGGCTGGAAAAGTCACATGCTGACAAGTCCTCTAGATGTAGCATGCAGCGCTCCTCCAAGGGAAGCTGCTATGGTGTTCTTGGAAATGGAAATGTTTTCTTCCCTCCTTTTCATTTTCTAAAGAGGCTCAGCTGCTAGGGAAGATAGACATCTTCCCAGTTGTGATTCTCAGATCAGAGTAGGGAAGATCCCCTGTGCCTTCACAGCGCTTCCAATCCACAGCACCCGAACTGGCTGCCGTTTCCATTCGAGATGGCAGCAGTTCATGTGGGCCATGCTGCAGCCTCCTCCTAGTCCTCGTGGGCAATGCTCAGCCATCTACCTGGCTCATGAGCAGCCTCATTCCTGCGCCTGAGACCTCAGGCTCCAGCCGCACCCCTCCGTATTGGGAGCTTCATCTGAAATCAGCACTGCCCTCTCAGGCCTGTCCTGATCCCTGTGTGATCTGGCATGCCACCGCTAAGAGTCACTGGGTCAGGAGTCACCCATGCAGCTGTGACCTGAAGTGGAAGCTGGGAAATGCCTGGATCCGTCTGGCGATGTCCAGGTATTTCACATTTGTTTTCACAGTGATTCTGGGCTGAGTTACAGCGCTCATCAACATGTTTGGCAATACAGAGACACAGCCTTGGCCTGGAGAAGGCTTCAGCCATCTGTTCTTTTAAACGATAGGAATGATGAGAATGGATTTGCTAGACCCTGGAAAACACAGGGATGCTTGCTGAAGACTGTGGTCCCGCTGGAATTTGACTTTGCGTCCCTCTGCAGAGACCTGAAAACCATCGGGTGGTGGTCGGAACGGAACACAGGTCATTGCTTTCTGAGGCCTTGGGGAAAAGAATAGGGAGCTAGAATTAATGGCTACAGAATGTTTTAGAGTAGGGAGATACAAATATTCTAAATAATTGCCCATCTCTTCAAATACCAAAATCCACTGAATCAGATACTAGCTGAGTTGGGCGTAAAATCCAAGGCTTTGTGCAAGATAGGCAAAGGCTCTAATCACGTTTCTTCCCCTTCCCCTAAATTAAGAAGGTTAGAGGGGGGGGGTCTTTTATTGTATAGGAAGTGTATCTCAATAAAGATGTTATTTTAAAAAGGACCCCATTACTCAGAGCAAAAATAAGACTGAAAAGTTAGTTCACATTAAGAAGGCATCTACCATGTGCTGGCTTTTCCTGTGTGGTTGGAGACACCCGAGAGCACCAGAAACCCATGAATAAGAGAATGGAGTCTGCAGCTCCTAATATCCAAAGGACGTACTGTCCTTGTAGTTGTCGCTTTTCAGACATACCTAGAGCCTAGAGCTGGCTGTCCACACCCACAGTGGCCACTTCTGGCCATGCTTGCAGGGAGACATGGACTGTGTTGGCAACCCACAGGTCCTTTCATCTCTCGGGGATGTCTTACTGTTGAGCTGGTGCATCTCAGGGGTTTGATGGTAACCACGGAACCGAGCAGTTTCCCTCCGCCATGGTAATGGGAGCCATCAGGTTTCTCTCTGGAGCTGTTGGGCAGTGAAGGCTCTGAAGAGCTCCCAGAGTGGGCAGCACCCCTGCAGTGTGACCCTCAGTGTGACCTGCGGTGTGACCTGCCGGTAGCTTCAGGTTCCTCAGTAGGCTATCATTCTGTAGAATTTGCATCCTCACTTTGAGAGGCTAAGCCAGATGGGGCGGCAGGTACGCCCTGGACACAGAGAGGCCCTGTCTCTACCTTCCCTCTGGAAGACTGGGCTCTGTCTTTGAGGGGAAGCATGGTTATTTATGTGAAATTACTCTCAGCGGTGGTACCTGACTCCATATATGAAGATCTCAGTATCAGTCCTTCCACGCTCTACAGGTCCCTTTAGCTTCTAGAAATGCTCAACATCTGCTCTTCAACCTTCCCTCCAAACCAGCCCAAGGTCAGACCCTGAATGACCCCAACAAATGCCACCCGGTTGTCCCACACCCACCTCTCTCCTGCAGAACAAAGTCAATTGCAAGCAGATGAGCGTTTCCATGTGGACACCAGGCAGAACAGAGGGACAGTGTTGGGAAGATGCCACCTTGGGGGCAGGGGGGAACGCAGGCTCACTATTTGTGAAGTACCCTAACATACGCACCCCCAGGGAAGGGAGGTTGTAGAGACCGGCACAGTTTAGTGCTGTCTTTGGCAACTCCACAAGGCCTGGACTGGTGGGAGGACAGGAAGACTCAGGGCTTCTAGAAAGTAGACACTTCCCACTTAACTTAGTCTGAGGAGTTGGCTGGGGACTCATGAGGCCTATGAAGACCCGGGCTGCCTGGGAAGTTCATTTGACAGAGAGAATAGAAACAAGACAGTTCATTTAATTTTTGATGAAGTGAAACCTCAACTTAAGGAAAATCTGTTGTAACCCAAGTCTGTTTCACAGATAAACATACAAAAGCACCATTGGCTATAGCCCTCCACCCTCAGGAGCTGTGCCTTGAAAATCATGTAAGTGGCAGTTTGAAGGTCATGAACGAGCTTGATTGAGCTGTCGAGCAAGAGAAGAAAAGAAGCGAGCAGAAAGGGAAGAGTCTAAAATAACAAGGGGGATCTTTAAATAGAGCTATAGGGCTGGGGAGCAAACTTAGTCCAAGGGTTAAAAACAAGCTTTGCCTCCCAAGTTTCTATGGTAACTGGAGAGCATCTACAGCAAGTGTGCAGTTAATGAAATACTTTTGGGCCAATGTGGAGCAACAGCAGTGTGGAGTGACTTTGTACGGGCTCCGAGACAGGTCATGTTTAGCTGCTGCTTCCTTGATTTCCAGCAAAAATTAGACGCCGAGTGTGGTGAGATTTCATTTACGACAGGCCCTGATTTATCTCCAGAGCAGAATCTCGAAATCTGGTGTCGATTCAAATCACTTGGAAGAAAGAGAGACCTCCCTCTTCTCTCTTCCCCTGCCGTCAGCAACAGTTTGGATTCGTCTGACACACGTGTGCAGTGTTAATTTGGACAGTTAGAATGATGCTCGTGACTAATTCTATCCGTACACAAAGACTAAACACAATCTGCTGAGGTCAGTTGGAAGCTATTTTGAACATGGCAGGAAGCAGTGGCAATGGTGGGATCGAGGGGCCTGGAAATGATATCCTAAGCCAGCCAGTGGTGAGCAATACAACCTGGGGCAGATGGCTGAACCTTTCTGTCTCTCTGTATCTCATAAAATGAGCCAAAGAGTAAAACTGATCCAAAAATTGGCTGATGGATTAAAGGAGGGTAAAATATGTATTGTGCCCCTAAAAACCTGCCTACAAACATACACATTTGCAACATGTATCCTAGTGTCCTTTTTCTAATGCAGCTTTGACTGATATATTCCCAACTCCTCCTTGTAAGACCAGGAAATCGCAAACACTAAAACACAACATAAATTGCAAACTGATTCTTCATGAATATAAATATAAAAATTCATAAACAAAACAAGAATTTTTTTACAAATCGAAAGATATATAAACTCTAGTTAAAGTAGAATCATTTTAAGTTGCCAGCACTATCAACACTAATGCATCTTGAGCCCCTCCCCCCCAATGCCAAAACACATGTGTGTTATTTCATTCCACATCCCTAACTTGGTGTCATTATTTTATAGTGTAGGATTACTGAAAATCATATTTAACATCAAATCACAAGGCTATTAAATAGTAGGGTCTTGACTCAACATAAGCAGTCTTGCTATATATTTAAAAAGATGGTTTTACCTTTTATAAAATTTATTTATGATATTTCTTTTCTTGCTTTATTGCACTGGTTATAGCCTGTATGTTCAGCGATGACTATAAACAATAAGATATACGCCGGTGCCTAAGGCTCATCCTCAGCTGGGGGGCAGCCTGTGCTTCAGTGCTAAGTATAATGTTTGTTGTAGTTTTTATAGAGATTCTTTACTATCCTCAGGAGAGTTCACTTCTAGTTTTCATTTATGGCAAATTTTTACCACATACAAATAGAGAATTTGTCAAGTGATTCTCTGTCCCATTGAGACAATGGTATGGCTTTTCTCTTTTATTGAGCTACAATAATGAATTTCAATGACTGATTTCCAAGTACTTCACTTTTATTCCAGTCCTGAATGTATTATTGTTCTTAAATTTTTATTGTGAATTTTTATGTTTATGAGAAATGCTGGCCTTTGACTTTCTTTGCTTTTATAAAAGGAGTTCAGAATGTACCAGCTGATGTTCCATGGGTAAAAGAGCCCTGGTGTGTGTGCATGCCACCAGGAAGGGCAGGCTAGGTACCATGAGCAGAAGCTGGAGAGCCACTCCACAGACTTTCCCTTTCCCAGAGAAACAACGATGTTACTTTTTCAACTGGCTGCTTCAGATAATAGATGATAATCTTCTTAAAACCAACTACTCATAGTTCACACTAATATCTACAAAATACCTTTAGGTAACACCTCTGACTGAATGGAGCTGGTGGTAAAACTGACCACTCAAGCTGGCCCTGTAACTTACACCTTTACCCCATCTCCTCAAGCCACAGTTCCAGAGTCAGGAACAGGGCCGTACTCTGTATAATGTGGCACAATGATTCTGTGCATAACCAAAGCACAAACTTGCAACCAGAAGGTGCAAAGGCCTTGAGTGATCTTCACTGTTCTCTTTGATAGTCTATAACTTAAATACTGTGACATAAAGTTAACTTCTGTTAGGTGATATGAGGCTCGGAGAGGGAAGGAAACCAGGTTTTGTATATAAAAATGTTCATAACAAAACAAGAAAGAACTACTCATGATAATTACAACCCTTACTTCTACAGTCTGACACGTAGCAATGGGTGAGGCTGATAACTGCCTTCACCACCGTTTCCATATTCCCTTTGCTGTCAGCCAGCACCTTAGCTGAATGTGGGGTTTGCCTAGTGAGGGACTCCCACTTTCATTTCTGAAGGGTTGGGGCTGTCAGTCCATTACTTAGCAGTGTTGCCTGGACAGGGTTGCTGTCGTTTTCCATCCACCGACTGAGTTCAGGGAATGGGGGTTGTTCTTTGCCCAGGCTCCTTAAGCAGAGTATTATAAAATGGGTGCCTTGGACAAGAGAAGCTTTTTGCCGGTTCTAGAGGCTGGCCAGTTTGGCTTCAGTCTGGGTTCTCTTCCTGGCTTGTAAGGGGTGCTTCTTGCACACGCACATGCGCACTTACTTGCAGGCTCACATACAGAACGTGAGATCGTCTCCCATGGGAGGTCACTGATTCCCCAAGAGTTCAACCCTAACAAATTTATCTCCTTTCAGAAGTACCACTTCAAAACACTTCCATATTAGGGATTATGTCTTAGAACATATGAATCTAGGAGCACACAGACATTTATTTTTATAGCAGGTATTACTCAGCACCAGTCTAAGGGACTTCCTAACATGCTGTTCCTGAACACTTTCGTACAGTACCAACCCAATTTCTGCTTGGAAATTAGGGCCAATCCTCCCAGCCAGAGCAGTGAGCCCTCGTCTTTGCTTGTTGACTGAGAGGAATGAGGAATCCAAACTGGCCAGATGCCAGTATAATTTCTATCCCACTGGATCCAAAAACTCTAGACCAGCAGAGCCTATGGTCACAAGGATGAGAAACAAATGTTTTTCTAGGGGCTCTCTAGAGGCAAATGGTCCTTATTTTCTTTTACTGATCCTAGGTCTGTGCATCTTAACTGTTTTAGAAGGCACATTATATATTCCTTGCCAACTCAGTGCATTTGGTGGCCTTTTAAAGGACATTACGACAGGGGCATGAGGTACTGTTGGCTAGCTGTACGTCCGTTGCTATGACGTGAGTTCCTTGATCAGAAGAATACTGTGTGGAATACCACAATGGCGAATGAGGCATTTGGTCAGCTTACAGATGATAGGTTTATTAGAAATGTTGTATACAACCTACATATCCATAACCATAGGAAGAACTGATTCCAGTAAGAACCAAGCACTGATCTTTCCATGGTGGAAGTCGGCCACATAACAAGGCAACTGACTGCCTTAGTTAGGGTTTCTGCTGCTTGAAGAGACGCCATAACCTATCATAAGGAAAACATTTAATTGGGGCTGGCTTACAGCTTCAGAAGTTTAGTCCATTATCGTCATGGTGGGACATGGCGGCATGCAGGCAGACATGGTGCTGGAGAAGGAACTGAGAGTTCTACATCTTTATCTGTAGGCAACAGGAAGTAAACTGTCCCCCACTGAGCATTGCTGGACATATAAAACCTCGAAGCCCATACTGATGGATGTAGAAGGGCCCCACCTTCTGTGAGCAGTGCCATCCCTTGGCAGGTACAGGGCTGTGTAGGAAAGGAAGCCAAGCAATGAAGTCAGCAGCACTCCTCATTGGTCTCCTCTCCAGGCTCTGTGCCAGGTTCCTGCTTTGACTTCCCTTGGTGATGGGCTGTAGCCTGTAAGACAAATGGACCTTGGACCTTTTCTGTTCTAGTCACTTTCAGTTTTGATATTTTATCATACACCAGAAACCAAACTGCAATGATGGGATGCTGTGAGTAAGTGTTCTGCGCTTAATGACTTGATAAGGCTGATAACATCTGGCTCCTGATGAGATGGTTGGGCAGGGTAAGGTAAATCATTGTCTCTAGTAACTATGGCCCTTGATCAAGACAAAGTTGTTTCTCAAAAAGAAGGTAGTAATCCACAGAGAACACCAAGACTTCAACTCCTTAGGGTCTGGGTTGTGGTTTGCCTACCAGGGCCTTCGAAAGCCCCCACACGGCATTTCTGTGAGCCACTAAAGCCTCACACACCAGGGCGTCATCCACTTATGAGACGGCTCCAGTGGCAATGCAGCTTCTGTAGTAGCCTGGACCTTACACGGAGCCTCTTCTTGTTCTAGCCCCACTCACTAAGGTCTTGGTATATACGTAGTTATCGGACTGAAGAATTCACCAAATTTAGGAATAGGTTGCCCGTGTAATCCAGTGAGTCCTAGTGTGTGCATGCCTCTATTGTGATTGTAGAAACATCAACTTATCCTTCACCCCTGGAGGGACATTTCAATGTGCTCCACACCACTGGACTGTTAAAACTTTCACTGAGATGTCTGAATCTTTGCCAATTTTATTTCCCATTTTAGATAGGGTGTTACTTGTAGCCTCGTCTAGTCGGCCTAGTGTTGTCAGTGTCATGAACCCATGTGGTGTCTTCTGGAAGAGGAAGATACCAAGTTATACACGGACTGAATTTTGACACAGTGGTAGAGAATCAACGTGGCTCCAGGGTGACAGCGAAGGTGCAGCGCTAGACTT